AAGTATAAAAAAAAGACAAATGTCCAACAAGATCAATTGATATCGGACATTCATCAGATCATATTGACCTTATTCTTTTACTTGTTAGTTCTACTTCTTTTATTCAGTTACCAGTCTTGTCCACTGAAGAATCAAGAGTATGCATATATTGAATTTATTTCTACTTTAATTAACAAATATCTGACATTCATTAGTTCATATGAACGTAAAAAAAAATCATTATTTTTCAGTTCTACTTATTATTCCAATAATAAAAAAAAAAGGATAAAACCATCTCAAGTTTCTTAACACCTTATCTTTTTTTTTCTGTGAAAATATGATGTTGCCAATAACTATAACCATTTCCTCTAAAAATTAATCATTATTGAAGGATGCTGCAAATATAGTTTAGTAATGATTTCTTTCACAGTGTAAATAACTAACTAGTACTAACTCCATTTTATTTGCTTTATATTATTAATTTAGCATAACTGTATCCAACAACCAAACGTAGTCTTTAGTGTTTATGTTATTTGTTTTTTGCTTGGTATCGATCTGATAAGTTAAGCCCTTTTCAACTGATTTTTATAAGTCTGTTATTGTGTCGTGGTGTAACACAACTGCCCCAGGTTAGGAGAGGGTTGGGCACCTGCAAACATGTTTAACCCGTCCACATTCTGTATGTGCCGGTCCGATGTCAGGAACATGTAATTCAGTGGTTGTCGATTGTTGCAGTATGTCGTTTGTTTTCCTGTATTGTTTTGCATAAATCTTGGGGGGCCTTTTATAGCTTGCTATGCGGTATCGGTTTTGCTCATTGTTGAAGACTGTACAGCGACCTATAGTTGCTTACTTCGATGTAATTTGGTCTCTGGTAGAGAGTTGTCTCATTGGCAATCATTCAACATCTTCATATCTTTATATATTTACAAAAAAGTATGATGCATTTGAAAAAAAGAAAGAAAAACAGATCACAGTCATTCAAAGATTTAAAGACTCAAATGGATGGGTTGTGCAGATTGTCTCTTAAACAATGTAAAATGGTCTTTACTGAACATTACAATATAAAATGTGAAAATAGATCAAAAACTCAAATGGCAGGGTTGCACATATTATTTTTTTAACAATGGAGAAGGATCTATACTAAACATTCAAAGGAGTAGGTCCGGTAAGGGCCGATTTTGGCCTCAAATTTCAGGTTCATATGACGAAGGATTTTGGACACTTTTTGAACACTAAAGTGTCTATTTCAGTTGATTCTATTACTTTATGGAAAAGATTTTAACTGATTTAGTCATTAAAAACGCTCCGATTCAAGCTTAAATATGAAAAATATATCAAATATGCCAAAAATGTCACTTTTCAGATGGTTTTTGTCAAAAATGAAAGTGGCCGCATCCGTGTTCATCCTCAACCTTTATATATGTTATGTATTATCATCAAATACAACTTACATTTCAATATTAAGAATGAACAAAAATGCGGCCACTTTCATTTTAGACGGAAACCGTCTAAAATTTAACTAAAATTCTAAAATTGTGAAGATTTCAGTAATTTAGCACGACTAAAGGATGCTAGTACCCAATATATGTGCATTGTATTATCAAAAACAGCCCATATTTATGTAGCAGATGCATTCTTCTTACCAATAAATATCTTAAAGTTTACATTTTAACAATTTTGTAAAACTGCTATATTTTGGGGCCAAAAAGGGGTCTTAATTACTCCACCTACTCCTTTATGGAAATATAAAATGTAAAAATAAAAGACGAATGTGTCTAAGGACATGAATGCCCCCGCTCAAGCTTGGTTTCTAGCATTGTGTAGGAGTTTTGTAAAATTTGCAATTAAGTTATAAAGGGGCATAACTCTAGAACGGTAATGGACTAACTGCCCAAATTCAAACTCTGTCTGCAAGTTTTGGTTCTTAGCATTGTGTAGATTCATAAAATTTCGATCAGGAAAACTTAAGCTAGAGTGTGGAAATTAAAATGGGAAGGAAGGTCAAGGGTAACACTTAATGCCCCCTTTGACTAGCAGATGGAAGGTGCATAACCTCTATAGATGTGCCAACTCTCTGTGAAGTTTTAAAGAATTGGGTTAAATGCCAAAATTGTTCCCAATTTTTGAAAATATTCCTGAAAATCACTAAGTTCCCAATATAAAAATAAGATGTGGTACCATTGCCAATGAGACAACTCTCCACCAGAAACCATGAAGTTGAAGTTAACAACTATAGGTCACCATATAATCATTCCATACACTAAAAATAGTTAACCTATTGCCTATAGTATCTGATAAACCCACTTAGCCATAAAACTTAACTGATCCACAAAATGGAATCCATTAGTAGTGGTCAGGTGAACCCTGTTTGATATACATAAAGACATTGCAAGGATCCCATATACCAAATATATTTATCCCATTACTCATAATAAAGGAGAAATTCACAATACATTTCATTACTATACAAGTTTTAAAGCAGTCGCTGTACCATATACTAGTAAATAAGATCAAGGAAAATGTGCATGACAAATTGAAGCATCCAGGTCTTCTACCTTTTGAAATATAAAGTTTTATAAAATAGTTTACACCTCTTCCAGATTAGCATCTCCATGTCTCGCATTGTGCGACTTTCATCACAGGCAAGGCAAAAATATAACCTGGTTATTATTTAAATATAAGCAGATGTAATGAAATTTCTATTTAGACAACTATGCACCAAGGACTATAGGACTTGAAAGTGATATCTACACATTTACAGATGATCATATTCATTTATTGCCTTCATAAATGAATATTTTCAATGTTGTATGTTAAGGTATGGTATATTTCATAGGTGAGCGTCATGGCAATCAAAAAGTATAAATTCCTACACAGGCGAAATGATTATGGACGTTTTGATGACATTTTTTCTCTAAGACATATTTTGAGTACGTTTATTGGAATTACAAGTATCACAAGAAAGGTAATTTTTACAGAGTTTATTGGTTTGTAAACTCTGCCTTTCTCTTACAAACTTACCATAAACCTTTGGACTTCATTAAGTTTGGGAGTGAGTCCATCAAACTGTCACATCAATAAATTCCTTTAAAATAACTTTGAGGTAATCTATAAAAGGCCCCATTATATCAAATATGAAAGAAATAAAAATAGCGACTGACAGATAAATCAAAGTGCAAACTGATAACGACAGCCAAAGACCTCAAAATGACTAAGGCCTCTGGCCAGCTTGGGATATGTACTTAGATATGTGGCAAGTTTAATATGTATGTGAATGCTCAACCATCACCTTAATCTGGGACAGTGTTACAGCAACAATTCAATACTCGTATTTGTACATTGTTGGAAGTTTTGCTGAAGGTTTTTGCTTTCAATGTCATTGGTATGCTATACAATTCAATGAATATATTTCATTCAGTTTTTATATATAATAAAAAAAATCTCAGATATTTTGTTAATGCATGTATGTAATTGTAGAAGTCTTGAGTGCTTGGAGAATACAAGTGACCTTTCATGAATGCACTTGTATAATAAAATGCTCCGCTGGGGCGCAGCTTGATACGACCGCAGAGGTCAAACCCTGAACAGTTGGGGCAAGTATGGACACAACATTCAAGCTTGATACAGCACTGAATTTGGATTGTAATTAAATATTTGACACAGCATAGGTTTCTGACACAGAATGAAAGTGGTCTAAGAACTTATAATTTTTTAATTTACCTATTCATATATGTGATGGACTGTGAAACTCAGATCAGGAGATTGGGAAATTTTGGTCAGGAGATTAGGACTCAGATCAGGAGGTTTTTAATCGACATAAATTTTGTCGTAAATGTAACCGTGTGCTGTAAAAATGGTCTTTTAAAGTGTGTTTTCTTCAACTTTCCATCCAATTTATTATGTTTATAGTACCCTTGTACTTATAAAGTTTCTCCATCTTTATATTTTACATGTTCAATCTAACATTTTTTTTTTTTCAGTATGTTCTTTAAATTTTTTACTTCATATTCTATAAAACATTTATTGTAACCAGAACATTTGTTTAACTATCTGCAAATAGCTTTTGTTTGTTTTTTTTTTTTTTTTTTTTCTCTTTTAGCTTTTGTTTGCATACTCAGAAAATCATTCTAACTGTAAAACAAGGGTCATAGTTATTATATAAATTTCAATTTAAGCCTTGAAAGGAAGTATAGAATCCTCAAATAATTTTCAAATTATTATTTTTTTATTTGTCCTAAGACATTTAAAATCATTTATTTACCATCCTTTTATGATTATTTGTTCAATTTATATTTTATTTATATTCTTTTAAAAATTTTCATTATTAAAAGGAAAGTAACTTAAAACAGGATAAATCAAGGGAAGTAACCCAATAAATACACAGTTTTTGTTACACAACGGCAGTTAGCCTGAGGTAAAAAATCGTTGATTACCAGTATGTTTGACACCCAAGCTGACAAGTGAAGCCATATAATTATGCATGTTAATTGATTTACAGGTAAAATATAACTTCAGGTAATGTGAGTTACACCAGATGCCTGAGATGATATGTTGGGCAGAAATTTTTCATTCATGAAAAATTTCATACACGGGATATAATTTTCCTCTTCAACCGGAGGTCGGGAGGAGACTCCTGAAAACAGGATTATTGTACTCCTGTCGGGAGGTTCACATGTATGCTATTCAAACCATATCATTATTATTTGCTTTTAAATATAAATCAGAAATAACCAATTTAAAATGGAAAATTTTAAAGAAAAAAAAGGAAAAAAAAATCCCCCCCCAAAATTTTTTGAACCCCCTTATGATTCATCGCCCCCACACTCAATCCCAGCTTTCCCTTTGTGGTATGGTACCTTGCAGTACAATTTTAGAGAGATCCATTCACTTGAACACAAGTTATTGTCTGGAAACTAGAAAAATGCTTGTTTTTTTGTCCCTTTTTGGCCCCTAATTCCTAAACGTTTTGGGCAATTACCCCCAAACTCCAACCCAGCTTTCCCTTTGTGATATGGAACCTTGCAGTACAATTTCATAAAGATCCATACACTAACACACAAGTTATTGTCCTGAAACTAGAAAAATGCTTGTTTTTTGCCCCATTTTGGCCCCTAATTCCCCAAATTTGGAGGAAATTACCCCCAAAAATCAATCCCAGTATTCCCTTTGTGATATGGAATCTTGTGATACAATGTCAGAGAGATCCATACACTAACACACAAGTTATTGTCATGAAACTAGAAAAATGCTTGTTTTTTGCCCCTTTTTGGTCCCTAATTCCTAAAATTTGGAGGCAATTACCCCCAAAATCAATCCCAGCATTCCCTTTGTGATATGGAACCTTGTGGTACAATGTCAGAGAGATCCATATACTTACACACAAGTTATGTCTGGAAGTTACAAAAATGCTTATTTTTGGCCCCTTTTTGGCCCCTAATTCCTTAACTGTTAGTACCATAACCCCCAAAATCAATCCCCACCTTCCTTTTGTGGTATTGAACCTTATGGTAAAATTTCATTGAGATCCATTCACTTAAACTAAAGTTAGAGTGCGAAAACTAATGTGTATTCGGACGACGACGCCGGACGACGACGACGACGCCAACGTCATACCAATATACGACCACAAAAATTTTTTTGCAGTCGTATAAAAATAAGGAGATGTGGTATGATTGCCATGGTCATATTACCTTTCTCAGGCATTATTGAGCACCGCAGTTTCCTTATAAGAATTAAAAATTTTGGTATAGTTTCAATAAAAAAAAGTATTAATAAATTACCCAGAATTTACCTGAATAGGATTTTGAAAAGATACTTTTGAAGTTCATGCAATTTATTTAATAGATGATGATTAAATTGCAGAACACCTTATATCATAAATATTTGATTTTAAGACAACATTTGGAGGATTAATTGTTTCCTTATTAAATGCACTTTTTACTTATTTAGATCGCTTCTTTTTTTGTGTAATTCAAGGAATTTACAATGATCTACTCTTTTTTAGAGCCCTTTGGTCTCAGCCATGTCTGTGTCTCACCAATAATCAGAGAACAAGAAAGAGAACATCTAAAGACCGCCATACTTTCTAAACATTCAACTTATTGTATAAAATGTAACTCCTTTAAATGTAGTATCTCAGCATAGAATTTACAACAGACATTGATATCAATTTCTTTATTTTTCATACAATGGCCTTTTTTCAATGATGTTAAAATTTGGTGCTAGATTTTTGAGACTTCTGAATGATTCAACATGCTTTATATGCTACAATGATATTTCCTACAAAAATATGTATGACAAATAGGATTTTTTATAAAATCATAACAATTCTGATATTTTGATATTTCAATTAAAAAAATGTATGTTATAAAATCTCACCAAAGATGCAATATTAATATTTTCAGGTTGTCAGTGATTCTTAAGTTTTTTCAGGGAATACACAGAATAAACAGCAGTAATGATACCTTTCCCACAATAAAAATCAACACGACAAGTAGCAAAGTTTTCAGATTTTGACTTCTATAAAAGTCTGTGATGTATTGTATAATGTTCTTAACTTAACATTTTAATATCTCTTATGTAAACTGGATGCAAAAATATAAAATTTTGACTGAAATATGGACTTTGTTTATATAATTATCTTCATACAATGAACCTTTACAATGATTTTCAAATGGTTTATTGGAAGATCAACAAGATGGATGAATTAAGTAAAATCATTTCTTAATCTACAATAAAATGACAGTTCTAGTGTGATAAACATGATTCTGTACACAATCGATAATGCTCTAATGTTTTTGACAACTTGTTGACAGGTGAAAAATGTTCATTAACAAACAAAAATATAACAGCAAACAAACAAATAATATAATACATACACATTATCTTATAATAAATGTTAATTGTTAATGATTTCTTAAATGTTCTGGTACCTTGGAAATAGTGAGCAGAAAATGAAATAAGCTATTGTTTGATACAGACTAGAAATGTGAACTAACCATGCTCAAAGAAGACACAAAGGAAAATGCCTAAATTCTCATTCAACTCCCTTAATAAATTCAAACAGACAATGTTTAAAACATAATTTTACTATTTTCAAAGTGTCGAATATAAAAATCAATCTTTTTTTTTCTTTCAATGGTAAAAAATTAAAAATCAAGGCGGACTCGGACGAGAATGTAGGATAGCTTCTTTTATGGCTGTATGTGTTTTTTCTTTCTTTCTTTCATTACACTTACTCTGAATCATTTTTTCATTCAACTATATATATTATGAGTAAACAAATCCTTCAATGAAAATCTTACATTATAAATTGGTAAATCTTTCAAGTATACAATGCCTTTTCTCGCTATCTTGATATTTCTTCATTTGCAGGATATGTTGAAAATACTTCAAGTCATTACACTTTATCCATGTTAGACAAATTAAAGCACTGTTACTACATAAATGTAACTAAAATGTCACAATAAAATAACAAGTCTCATCAGTATTGTGGAGGTGGCCGTCTGGGTGGTATTCCCCCTGGATTTGACATTCTCATAGGTTGTCCACCAGCACCACTAAAGGGAGGTCTGACTCCTTGCTGCATGCCCATAGACTGTCCCCTGGGAGGATAGCCTTGATTTTGCCCCATTGATGGTTGAGGCTGAGTATGTTGACTGTCACGGCTGGTTATAGCAGCTCCGGGTTGTAATGGGTTCCCAGGAGCATGTGACAATGTCTTTAACAAGTTAGGACCACTTTGAATGAGATTATCTAAAGCTTTCTGAACATTGGGGTTATCCAGATTGATGAGAGACGACATTCCCCCTGGTGCTTGTCTACCATCCATAGATCCATTGCCCTGGGGCTGTTGTGATAATCCTACCATGCTTCCTAGTCCTGGTCCTTCTCCTGGCCCATTTAAGATACTTAATATTTTAGCCTGTAGATCTTTCTGTGTATCAGGTTTTGGCTCTCCTGCACCATAACCTAAAAGCAGAAAACAAACATCTTAGTTCTAACTTTCCGTCCGTTTATTAATGTTTATACAGACTTTGAAAGCTTACAAGTAAATCTTTTTAATCATGTTTTATTTTACAAAGAACATTTGGATATATGATAGCCATATCTCTTTGAGGATGGAATTACAAGTCAATGTTAAGGCTCCAATTAAAGAAAATTAGTAAGATATATAGTTTACAAAATTTTTGCTGCTGACATAATTGAGGAAATGAACATATTGTAAGGCTATGTGAAAGATCCTGATGTGTTCTAGACCAATATAATAAGCTGAATATTTTACAGTAATCATGGTAAAAGCTTGCAGTCATAGGTCCTTACACCATATATTACTGTCGTTAAAGCAACTGAGGCAACTTAACTTTGCGCTAATGTGGAATTTCTAGGTGAATATTCAACTCAATTACTTTGACATTAACTAATACACCATTCAGTGGATAGAGAATTTCTGAGTTATGTAAAGTAAAGCATAATGAAAGCATTTTAAAATAGTTAGAACCTATAATATGATATAAGGTTACTTTGTACTGAACCAGATGTCCAGTAAAACTCTGAATACATTATGACATACATTATTATCTGTTGAAAGAAATTTTTTTATATATCTAAGGAATTGTGCATAATGGCAATACTTTATAAAAGAAACTCTTTTATTCAGGAAACACAAATACAGGGCAACAGATTAAGCCTAAGGATGGGCAAAATAAAAATGTGTTTAATCATATGAATGCACCTTTGAAGCTCCATGTTTTAGGCCTTGAAATGGCCATAGATTTTGATAGATACTTAAAAAGTATCTGTCAACCAAAATGATTCTGAAGCAGCTTCATAGCTGCTTACAAGGGTAACTTAATAAGCTTGCCATCTAAATGACTACAAAGCAGCTTCAAATCTGCTTTTTTACTTGCAATGGTTTATTAAGCTGATGGTAGCACCACCAAGGATTGTACAGCGAATACATATTACAGTACCATGTAACTTTTTCAGACCTCGTATGCTGAATACATTAGCACAAAATGCAATAAGTATAGTTTTTTTATTTCAATCAGTGACTGATTGAAGTTCACATTTTCATGATCTGTGAATCTATACAAGATTCAAGACCAATAGTGTTGGTGGTTCATGTTTTTATAATTATGAAGGGGCCTCGGTGAACATTGCTTGCACACGATTGCTGTGCACTATTTACAACAATAACTTTTTCCTCTTCTTTTTGTGTTGTGTTTTGAACTTGCTCAAACAAGTGTTTTTGGTCTTTGTACAAAACAGCCTCTAGGGGCACCCAAATTGGCAAGAAAGAATTTGTTTAAGACACCATATTTCATTTGATGCAAAGGTAAAAAAAAGTGTGCCTCTACTTTAAGGCAAATATTTCTATGGAAGCATATGACACCTACTTTAGTGATCTCAAACTAAATGGAACTGTCATAATTTATCAAGTGAAAAATTAAAGTCAAAATATATTTAAATCATGTCAATACTGGTTTTGGTATTGGCATCATTGACTTACATATGCTGAGTTTTAAGGCCTTCCTTTAACAGGAAGAAGGACTTTTATTTGTGTCTGTACGTGTATTGGTATTACTGTATAGGGTATCGTTGGTTGTTGTTTGATTAACTTCCAATGGCAAACTTTTATGCATATTCAGTAAGGCAACATTGAATAAGATGGATAGCAATCGTTATCCTGTTCTTTCTCATTGTATTGGCAACTTGTATGTATACAAAATGACAGAATTTTTCCAAAATAAGAAATTGGGTTCAGTTTTTAAACACTTTTTAAGGGATCAATTTTCATTATAGTACCTGATAAAAACTTTAATTGAGGCCCCTTAATAATGTCTGTTAATGTACAAATAACATTTACAAGATCTAGCATGTATTCTTTCTTTCCTAAAAAAAATAGCAATACATTTGTCTGGTTAACTTTAATCTTACTTTCTGTACCATCACCACACAAATAGCGGGTAATTGGGATCCTGCTATCACACTTGACTTTAAATGGCTCTGGAAGAGCATTCTTCAAGTAACGCCTTCGCATGACGGATATTTCCCTCTGAGTAGTGCATAAAATGTACAATGTCTCCTTTAGCATTGAGAACATCTTCAAAGGTTGTACATTAACAAACTTAATGCTCTCCAGCATTCTAATTATTGGTACAATAGCATGACCTATTAACCTCTGAGGGTTTTGCAAGTCTCGATCATCATGCATTGCCTCATGATTCATTTTATGCCAGATACTAGGGTTACATGTTGGTGGCCTTAAACAGTGACAATTCTCAGGTATCAGATACTTTTCTCGCAGTTTCTTCACAAACTGCTGATTGACAGGAACGGTGGAGCTTAAATTAACTAGTTCAGCAATCTTTGACCATGTTGGTATATCTGACAGGGTATCATCGACACGCTTTTTGTTCAGCAACTGTTGTGCAAATATATGCTTTTCCTCTTCACCAGTCTTGTGAGCCTGGTCAAATGCTTGTCTCAAAGCCTTCGCATCTTCAGTATGACCAAGAAACTCTTCAGGAAAGAAATGGTCACCGATCACCATCTTGCGTACACAAAGCCACCTAACCTCCTTTGGAAGATGGTTTCTCAGGAGGTGCCTGCGTTTGACGGTCATCTCCAAAATGAAGTTACACAAGAGAAGCATGCTGTCTTTGAGAAGCTGATACACCACCTCATTGTCGATTGTTATGCTGTTCTCAAAGAAGGCACAAGTCTGAATAAGTGGTACTACAGCAACAGCTAACTGCATCTGCATGCTTTGGAGAAAATTGTCGTAACTTCTCTGTCTCGCATCGATTTTGGAAAACAAATCCTGATGTACAATAGGTGGCTTCAGATATAGACAATTCTGAGGAATATTGTAGCGTTCTACAAGCTGATACATATTTGCAGTCGTTGTACATACAGTCTTGAGGACATCAGCTATGGCAGGCATGACTGGTGGTCCATCAACTTTGGCCATCATTCTACGTTCTTCTTTTGATCTTGGTCCATCACCTGGTACTTTTTCTATTCTCTTGTTACCATGCTGACTCATTCTTTCTAATGACATAGTTGGTTGTACATCCTGCTGCATCAATGGTTGCGGTCCAGACAACCTTGCCTTCTTTTTTGGACCTACATCAATGCTCATTAAACTTTGAACCTTTGTATCCGGTAGTGATGTTTCAAACAAGTCAGATGGGTGCTTATCAAGTAGTGGAGTTCCTAGCAAGCTCTGTGGTTGAACTGGAGTATCAAACAAGCTTGGTAGTTCACTTTTTACTTCAAATAAGCTTAGTAACTGACCATGTGAACTAGCAACTGGAGTTTCCAGTAAATGAGGTGGCTGGACAGGCTCAGGAACAGATAGAAGTGCATGTTTTTGAGGAGCGGAAAGGAGTCCCGCTTTAGCTAATATAGCATTTTCTGTCTGTTCCTTCAATAAAGCAACTTGTAATTGTTTCTGATATATGTCGTAAGCATCCATTGGAAGCTCCTCTGATTTTCCAATGGACATTAGACGATCAATATATTGAGATGTTCTCAATGCTTCAGAAGAATCAGAATACATATCAGCACTATCTAATGGTCTTTTCAGATGCCTTGAAGACATCAGTTCAGGGTCTCCTACAATCAAAACAAACAACCCTCATAGCATAAAAACCTATTTCCCATATATAACACTTCACTCCACTGTGCTAGGAGATTTTTGTATGTGTTTTCTTATTTTGTATTTATTTTTAGATATGGAATGTAAGTCTTTAAATATGTTAAAGTTAATATACTACTTTTCAATGTTCATTATTATGCATGTTTTGGGGTTGCAGATTGAGGGGGGATAAGAATGTTTAAACTATTGGTGTTCTACTAGCGGTTGTAATTTTAATGTTTCTATGGAAACAGTATTGTCATTTTGAATACAATTTTCTTCAAAATTGAAAGGATTAAAAACTTAGTCAGAAAAGGGCAGACAGCAGGATTTCTAATCTACCAAGGAGCATAAATCAATTACATAATTTTTTAACACACAGATATGTCTCCCCTGTGTAGCATAATCACAAATTTAACAACTGTCTACATTTTGCAGCCAGAAACTGCAAGCCTATTAAAGGCATTGCTTCTGCAATAAGCATGATAAGGCGAAAAGACTTGCCCAACAGACAAGTAAGAAATTTATTTATCTGAACCTCTAATTGCCATGAAGCAGATGATTTTATAATTTATTGTTTTAGCTGATTCCCTAAAAAAAAGTAATACATGTAGAGACCATAAAGAAACTAACCAATTCTAACAATTTTCAATTTTAAAGGGAGCATTATTTTACTATAACAACTGTGAAGTATAACTTCAATGATAAGTAATCTGGAACTCATTAGTTTTAATGATTCCTGTAATTCAATTTGAAAAAAGTAATTATGCTACAGTTGAAGGTTAAACCTTCAAATTAGGGTATTCAAATGGATAAACAAACTTTCACGTAAGGACCATTTTTACTTATTAACACATTTTGAGTTTTTACTATCATTTTACTTTTCAGTTGTCGTTTCTTAATGCGGTTCTTTTTTATAATTACCTTTTATTTGATTTTTGGGGACTGTTGTAGAGCTAAGTTTGTTAAGGCATTTTTCGTCATTATGCATAATTACTGAGAATTCTGTTTTGCTTTCACAGATACTCTGGACTGACGAAAAATTGTATTTTTGTTGATTGATTGTTGCTAGCGAATACGTAGTGTCCAGTGTGTATTTTTGTGTTTTTTTGTTTGAACATTTTAATTTGTAGTTCACCATGTTCATAAAACTCCCACAAAATTGAGTACCCCACTAATAATGACCCATCCACAGTAGGTATATTGTGGCCAGGTTCTGTCATTGACGGATGCTAATCTTAAATTTACTTTTTACAGGTATTCAACTCTTCTCTCTGTCAAAATTCCTATAATTTCATGACTCCCCTATGTTTTGTGTGGAAAATTTAACATACAATGTTATTCATATTGTTTTAAGTATATATGTACAAAATAACTGTGATAAGTCATAGCGGGATTTTTTTTAATAAATACCGAAAAGTGTGTGTTAAATGTAATGAACACAAAAGCTGTATGCAAGTACTTGCAAATTATAAGGGGTATTAATTCACTTGCTTTATTTGTACAATCGCATTGGGACTTATCCATTCATGGAAGTTTCTCCCATAGAAACAATTTATCACACATTTAATGTTTAATGGAAGTTTTCATTGCTTTTTCAACTATATTCTATTTGATTTGGTGAGTGTTATATGCATTTTTGGCAGCAAATCAAATTTTAAAAGTGTTTGAATAACCTTTTGTGCTATATGCTAGACAAAATATCAGTAGGTTATTGCTTTTGTGAATTTCAAAAGGCTATGTTACAATGCTTTATAAGGATAATAAATGATGTTCTTATATATTTAAAACTCGGCTTTTATGTGGGAATTATCTGTATGTGCTGAGCAGCATACATGGGTATGTATCCTTTCCTATAAATGGAACAACCCTTGAACATGTTGAATAAAAAATCAATGCATATTGTACAGCAGGTGTATTGATTAAGTCTGTTTTATTGGTGGTCAAGAATTTGGAAAATCCTGGGTAAACCACTAAATCAGCCATTTTATGGAAAAAGACTAGAGCATGACTCAAAACCTTATATAGCTTTGATTGACTAAAGTGACATGTACTGATAGATAAGATAAAGAAGTTGCATATAATGTCGTGCAAGGTATACCATCACTCACTTACACAGTACAACTCAACATTATCAAGCTCCAGAACAAATATGTCTTTCCTTTACGTACAAGCTAAGAAAAACATTGACCAAAAGAGGGTATAATTATAAATTCAAAGTATTGTCAAACAGGTAGTTAATGTTGGGCAGATCTAAACAATGCTTAGACAGTACAACATTTTATAGTTCTAGACCAAATATTATATCATACCTTGACAACAAAAGTTACAGATGGACAAAATGATAGCAGTATACCACCCACTTTGCAAGTGGGCATTCTTGGATGATGATGATGATGGATGGCTGTGTAATGTCCAGCAGCAAATTAAATGCATTTTCAGGACAAAATTATGGTAATGTAATATTGTACTAGACTGATACGCTGAGCCAGATTTTTAATTGGGCTAGTTCACAAGGTAAAAGTCCGCTTGAAAACACCCTACCTGGTCATATTATTCGACCAGTCTTTGCTCTTACTCCTTAATGTATCGTGCTTAGAGAAGCAGTTAACACCAATTTTAACATCTCTGGTTTGACCCTGCCGGGTTCAAACCCATGACCACAGGCACTCAAGGTGACCAAGCTACCACTTAACCACAGAGATGGTTGGCGTTCTTGGAAGAATTACTATATTTTTTTAACTATGGCATATTGAGGTTGGGAATTATGAAAAAAGAACATAATCAAATATGAAAAGAAATAAAACAACAAAAACAACAAAAGTAACAAATACAAAATGATATACCCACCTCATAAAATTCAAAAACCACAATCAACACTTTTTCCATGAAAATTACAGATTTGTATCAAATGAACAGTAACCAAGACACCAAAGTACTTTTTAATGAATTTTAAACTTTCTTTGATGAAATCTCCAAATGTAAAAGATCTAATCCATTCAGGCTAAATAACCGTGAAAAACTTTCAAATTTTATTTCTATGTAAAAGAAATCATCTGTATGACAGCAATAATCATTTACTTAAGTGTGGCATTGCAAGATTTTTCAATTTTCTTCTTCTTCAAAATTGTCTTTTTTCAGTAAAAATGTCATCCATGTTTGAAGCCAGTTCGTTTAGTGTTTCAGAGATAATAAAAAATGTCTCATTTACTGTAAGTTTTGTGGAAATGGATTTCATAATTTGGTGGAATTTTAATCAAATTTTCTTTAAGTAGTAGCAATAGAGACCATGCTTGATTTTAATTAGGAGTGATAAAAATCACTACTTCTTATATGGATCATTCCTTCTAAGTTTGTAAGCTGTATGACTTTTACAGGAATAGCCCTCATTTGAATTAACTTGCCATGAGCTAAGTGGGTATTGCCTTTCCAATCCCTTGGAGACTTATATGTCAGAGCAAAACATAAATAACAAAAAACTTACTGTCAGGATAAGAAGATTTAGGAGGGATACGACCCTCAGCCTCTAGAAGTTGATTTCTTCTTTCTGTCAAATAAGTAATAACTTTATCCAACTCCTCAACAGTAAGTTGTCGCTTGTCGGCCAACAGATTCAATAGGTAGAGTATGTCCTGTGAAGGTGGTACAAACGGAGGCGGAGCCCTTGCCGCAGGGGTAACGGCAGGTCTGGCAGCTGCTGTCTCTTTTTCACGTTTAGCGAGCTGATATGCATCAAAACTTCTACCGATTAGAGTGATAGCATCATCTACTGGCATATTTCTATGTTCTGTGGATAAAATGGTACAAAAGGCAGGTCAGTAAAAGATAATCAATCTACATCACAATATTTTATTTCTATCCTGCCTCCATTGCTGAATAAGCAATTTTTTTCCACTGAAAATTTAAAATTCATTTCAATCTGAATTTTAAATAATTACGTTCAGAAGATTCGTTTTGAAATTGAATTTAAATAACTCAGAATAATTTTGAATAAAACAATTTTCTTTTAGTCAGTGATGGTCTAGAAAATTTATCGTAAAATAGAAGAAAAGTTATTAACAAATTCATTACCTTGTACTCCATGTTTGTTTTGTATGTAAACACGAGTCAACTGTATAACAAGAAATTCTGTTCGGCACTTTTTTATTTTACATTACACGCAGCTGTATTTATATATTTTATGACTAACAGATGACTTTTTATTTCATTTTACATAACACGCAACGGTATTTACATAAATAACTAACAGATGGCTTTTTTTTCATTTTACATATAATGCGCAGTATTTGAATATACATTATTACAAAGAACTTACATCAGTTAATTAGAAAACTTTTTAAATTTTGTAGCTCATCTTATCTTATATTCAAAACAATATTTATATTATTAAAAAACATAAAGTAACTCAACCTTTCATTTAGTTTTTTATGTAACATGACTTCAGAAATCATCTAAACCAACATTTTTCTAAACCGTACATTTTTACACAGATAATTATCTAAAATCAATTAAGTCATGAATAGGTATCGGAGAGCTCTAAAGCTATAAACCGATAATTCTGAAGAGATCTAACAATCTTATTTTAGTAATGTATGAACATTTTTTAAATCAAGGACTGTTTTTAATATTTTCATAAAGCACAAAAGTTACTGCTATGATCTTCCTAAAGCTCCGTTCATATGAAAATATTTTAGTACTGCTTACTGAAAATTGATTAACTTAGTATATATGTCCAGTTATATTGAAGACCTCAAGAAACAAACAAATTGTCAAACATGCATATGTTTTAAGTTTATTTAAGATTTTATAAGTACAAAAATACATTTATTGAACACATACTTCTAATCTAAACGCTTATATCCAACTTATCTAGACCAATACAAAACACCTTCGAAATGATCAAAAATACCTAAAGGTCACCATTAGTTTAAGACACAAATCTGTTTATAATGTAAGTGAGGCTACCGAATTGAACTTTATAATGAATTAAAGCTTTAATAAGTATTTAATGTTAAAGCATTATTCTAAAGACATTTGTTTATTTTATAATTATTTGGTATACGACACGATACCTGGCATTCCATTAGATTATGCTTGATCACTACATATGTATACTATCTGTAGTGTATTTCCTGGTTTTTTAAATAACCTTTTTAAGTAAATGCAATTTATTAAATAGTTCATTTTTTATACAGTAAGCTTTTAAGGATCATTCTATGATCACTTTTATATTTATAATAATTTTTTCTCCACTTTTTGTATCTTATCTTACATAGAACCATGTCATATCATAACAAAAGCAACATCATAATTTTCGTCCTCGATACTTTAATATATATTAATTAGTATATTTTTATATGAATAATTTCTTGTTATACAGCAACTAACATCCAACAAACAAAAGCGCGTACATTTAAAACATAACACGTTTATTTTAAATATGCATCGCAGAATTTTATAAAATTATTCTATGGGATGTCAATGCAACCGTTTCAGCTCAAATAATTATTACGACATACATATATGTAACAATATAATATATTTCAA